TTAGGAGTTTCTTGGGGTTGGCTAGATATTATAGAAGGTTCGTAGAAGGGTTCTCATCTATTTCGTCCCCTTTGACCAAGTTGACTTAGAAGACAGTTAAGTTTCAATGGTCTGAAGCTTGTGAGAAAAGGTTTCAGGAATTGAAAAAATGGTTGACTACTGCCCAGTATTGACCTTACCAGAAGGTACTCAAGGTTTTGTGGTATATCGTGATGCATCCAGAGTTGGTTTGGGTTGTGTGTTAATACAGAATGGCAAAGTTATAGCTTATGCCTCCAGACAGTTGAAAGTTCATGAGAAGAATTACCCAACCCATGATCTAGAGTTGGCTGTCGTAGTATTTGCTTTGAAAATATGGTGTCACTATCTTTATGGTGTTCATGTAGATGTGTTCACCGATCACAAGAGTCTTCAGTATGTGTTTAGTTAAAAAGAGTTTAATCTCAGACAGATGAGGTGGTTAGAGTTACTCAAGGATAATGACGTGAGTATTATATATCACCAAGTAAGGTAATGTTGTTGCTAATGCTTTGAGTAGGTTTTCTATGGGTAGTACCGCCTATTTTGAGGAGGTTAAGAAAGAGTTAGCAGAAGATGTGCATGGACTTGCACAATTAAAAGTTCGACTAATAGATTCCACTGAAGGAGGAGTACTGGTGATGAATGAGGTTGAATCATCATTAGTGTCAAAAGTGAAAGAGAAACAAGACCAAGATCCTATTTTGCTTTAAATTGAAGGAAAATGTTTATAAGCAAAAAGTAATGACTTTTGAACAAGGGGGAGATGTTGTATTGATGTATCAACGTAGGTTGTGTGTACCAAGGGTGGATGAACTCCAAGAGAGGATCATGAAAGAGGCTCATAGCTCTAGATATTCTAACCATCTGGGTTCCACAAAGATGTATCGTGATTTGAGAGAAGTATATTGGTGGAATAGTATGAAGAAAGGTATTGTTGAGTTCATTGCTAAATGCTCGAATTGTCAACAAGATAAAGTAGAGCACCAAAGGCCCGATAGTATGACTCAGAATATAGAACTTCCAAAATGGATGTGGGAGATGATCAATATGGATTTCATTACTGGTTTTCCATGGTCTCGTTGGCAACATAATTCTATCTGGGTGATTGTGGATCGAATGACAAAATCAGCCCACTTTTTACCGGTAAAGACTACCCATTCAACAAATGATTATGCTAAGTTATATATTCAAGAGGTAGTAAGACTTCATGGAGTTCCAGTTTCCATTATTTCAGATAGAGGTGAAAAATTTACTACACAGTTTTGGAAGTCATTCCGGAAAGGCTTGGGTTCAAAGGTGAACTTGAATACTATTTTTCATCCTCAGACAGGTGGTCAAGCAGAGCACACTATTCAGACTTTAGAAGATATGTTTAGGGACTGTGTGATTGATTTCAAGGGTAATTGGGATGATCACCTACCTCTCATTGAGTTTGCTTACAATAATAGTTACTATTCCAGCATACATATGGCTCCTTATAAAGCTCTTTATGGGAGAAGATGGAAATCTCTTATTGGGTGGTTTGAGGTTGGTGAAGCTGGGTTGATAGGACCAGACTTAGTTCATCAAGCTATGGAGAAAGTGAGAGTTATTCAAGAAAGGTTGAAAACAACGCAGAGTTGTCAGAAATCCTACACTGATGTTAGGAGAAGAGACTTAGAGTTTGAAGTACATGATTTGGTGTACTTAAAGGTTTCACCCATGAAGGGTGTTATTAGATTTGGTAAGAAGGGGAAACTTAGTCCCCAGTATATTGGTCCTTACAAAATATCCAAAAGGATTGGTAATGTAGCTTATGAGTTGGAGCTACCACACGAGTTAGCAGTAGTTCATCTGGTATTTCACATTTCTATGTTGAAAGAGTGCATGAGAGATCCTTCACTAATAATACCAACTGAAGATATTGGTATCAATGATAGCTTGTCTTATGAGGAGATTCATGTTCAGATTCAAGACCGCCAGGTTCGCAAGTTGAGAACCAAAGAAGTAGTATCAATCAAAGTTCTGTGGAGAAATTAGTTTATTAAGGAAGCTACTTGGGAAGCTGAGGAGGATATGAAGAAGAGATATTCACATCTCTTTGAGCCCAGAGAAATTCCAGATCAAGATATTAATTCTCTTCTTAGTACTCTTGAATTGATATACTGATGTGTTAGATTTGCTTGTTGGGTGTTTGAGCTGAATGTTAGAAGTTACGCCTTTAGCCTACTAAGAGTAATATCATTCGAGGACGAATGTTCCCAAGGGGGAGATGTTGTAACATCCCTCTTGTGAAAGAACTAGAAATAGAAAGAAACCATTTTTTTGAAAGATCAAATTTGGGAAGTTTGGCAAGTTTTGCTAAGTATAAGTTTTGGGTCAACTTCAAACGACCATAACTCTCAGTACATGATGAGTTAGGTGTTCTATAAGATATCGAATGAAAGGTCTTTGAATTATCTTTCCAATGCCACCAAGTTTGCTAATTTTTGAGCTCGTATGAGGGAGATATGCCTGTTCGAAGTTGGGCTGTCAAGATAAGGAAATTTAACCAGATTTTAAACGGGTATTTTGGTCTTTTCCAGACCCAATTGGTTTAATTCGTTTTTAGTAAATTATTTAGGTCTAAATTGAGTTAGTTCAGTTTACTCAATTAAGAATTATGCTAGGGCTTTTAGAGAAGAGAAAAGAGGAGAAAACTCAAGGCGTTCTTGGAGATTTCTTGCGGAATCAAAGTCGTTTCGCCAAGGGTTGATCCCTAAAGAGGTATGAGAGACTTTCATAGCGTTGGGTTCATTCACTCACGCGCCAATCATGTTTAGTTCAGCGAAATTCGTTCTAGAGAGTTGAAAGTTTGATAATCTTGAATTGTGTTCTTGAAATTGGGTTTCATTCTTGAGATTTAATGGGATTGTTGAGTTCTTGATGGAATCGTGTCGATTTTAGAGTTGTGTTTGATTAGATTCTTTTGTACATATACTCGGTTTCTGAATCTAAAGAGAAATCGAGAAAATAATCAAATTTAGGGAAAATGGGGTTAGAAAACGAAAATGGAAAAAGTCGGGAGAAACTAGCAACCCAATCCGCGTCGCGGACCTGCCTCTTTTTTTTATATAAAAGATTTCTCCGCGTCGCAGAGAGATCGCGGACCCCTCTGCCTCAAAATTTATTTCGCGACCAAATATTAAAATGCATATCCTTGTCGCGGACTTGCTTCCAGACAATGATTTCTTGATCGTTTCTCATGTTTAACTATCTAAAAATACTCCTAAACATCACGAGATCTTTCCTATCACAAATCACAACCTTGAATCCATAAATTCAAATTCAAGGAAAGTTAAGAGCCAAGTCTAGAGAGTTCTTAGAGTCCTTTCAAAAGTCTTTTGAAAATGCTTTAAACTTGTTTTAAAACTTGAGTTTTGAGTTGAGTAAATAGTAAAGAGTAAAGTTCATTTCTTCAAAAGAGTATATTAGGACTATGTATTCCCAAAGAGTAAATGTTTTCACATTTAATCAAGAAAGGAAATACTGATTCCCAAAAGAGCCATTGAGCTAGTTTTCAGTAAAGAGTAAATGTTTTCACATTTAATCAAGAAAGGAAACACCGATTTCCAAAAGAGCCTTTGAACTAGTTTTCAGTAAAGAGTAAATGTTTTCACATTTAATCAAAAGAGGAAACACTGATTTCCAAGAGAGCCTTTGGGCTAGTTTTTGAGCAATTATTTCAAATCACAGAAATAGTTATGTTTTTAAAAATATGAGATAGTTACATTTTTGGGAGTAGTATTGAGCACCTATATGAGGGAGAGTTCAGACAACTCACATCCCCATAAACTATGTAGCCTAGAAAATGGTTATACTTTTTAGATAATTCCTTAGTATTTTTTAGCATAGACTAGTGAGTCCACTTAGAAGTTACGTTCTATACCCCCGGAAAGGTATATGACGGCACCTAGCAGCGTGAGGCAAAATGATGTATCAACACATAGCTCTTAAGTGATGGTTGTCGATTAGAGAAACTCCCACAGTTATATTTTGTATTCTTATATACACAAAGATTACTTGTATTTTTACATACAAACAGAGTTTATGTTGTATCCTTGCATACAAACTGAGTTACCATCGTATTTCTATATAAACAGAGTTGTTATCCATGTTTTAAAAGCTTTTCTTTATATTGCATTTTCATTATTGCTTTATATTGAAATGAGTTGAGTTGAGACCAGGTATGTTCCTTCAGTTTCTTTCAAGCTTATGTCTTGTTTTAGTATTTCCTTTGCATGCTCGTACATTCAATGTACTGATGTTAGTTGGCCTGCATCTTTGTATGATGCAGATTCAAGTAACGAGGATCAACATCCAGTGCATCGTTGATCCAGTTGAGCTTCAGAGTTGTTGGTGAGCCTCCTTGCTTCTGGAGGATCCCTTTTTTATTACTTTATCATTTTAGTTCATTAGGAAGTCGTGGGTCTTGTCCCGACGTCCATCTCAGTTGTTAGAGGCTTCATAGACAGTTAGTTGATGTTAGTTCTTGAGTCTTTTCTGTTTCAGTTATGTTGAGACTTGAGTTGCCATTTTGGCCAGTTGAATGTTGATCTTTAAAACATTCTAAGTTATTTGTTGAGACAGTTTAATTTGATTGTATTTCAATACTTTCTTTTATCATGAGTAAGTCTTTCGCTAAGAGCTAAGTCAGGCCAAGGGTTCGTTTGGGGCCAACAATGGTTCTCGAGTGCCAGTCCCGCCCAAGGTGTAGGCTCGGGGCGTACAACACATTTCTATATTAAGTAACAATTTAACAATAAAATGTTTATTTTACTCTTAATGAAATAATTTACCGTCACACAAATTTTTATCATTCATTTTGAACCATAAGTTTAAAAGTCTAGCTTTCTTTCTTAAACTTTGTGTCGAGTGAAACTATTTCACACAAAATGGGATGGAGGGAGTAGTTTTTTCATAATTTTGTACTCTCCCAAGTTCCAAACAAACCCCAATATATACAGGTTTTAGTTACAAGAGGGTTTAGCTGAAACTACCCGACCCGACCCGTTTTCCATTCTTCTCCGGCCGGTGACCTCCCCTCCCTCTCCAAAATGGTCGGCTTCCATGTTCGCCGACTGGCCCATCGCCTCACTCGCTCTTCTCTCTCCTCCCTTCTTCTTCATGATTCTGCTTCTGTATGTGCATATTTTATTAAATTCAAAAAGTTAATTTGTTTTTTATGTGCATATTTTATTTACTTTGGTTGATTTCTAAAGAGTTGTATGTTCAATGTAGGCGGCGCATGTATCATTATTGAAAGTGGGTTCAAGGAGTTACAACACTGCGGCGAAGAATCGAATTAGGGGTTTGTTTCCATCCAATTGTTCAAATGGTATGTCTCATATGAGCCTCATTTGCTTCTGGAGTTGAGTTAATTTTGGTAAAGTTACAGCTTTCTGTATTTTGATATTGGTTTATGCCTTTGAACCTGAGGGTGTGACCTAGTGGTCAATGACATGGAATTGAGAACAGTCTCAGGTTCAAACCCCACAAGCCTGCAAACTGGCCTGACACTAGGTTATATAAAAAATAGAACTTGGTTTATGCCTCTGTTGAATTGTGTGAAGCGAAACACGAGTGGTTGAGAAATTGTCCATGGAAGTCAATTTAGGTGCGGAATGGATCCTTGGGTTATTGGTGCTTATTTATGTTGTCCTACTACATTGTTTCAATTTCTTTGTCCTATTTTCCTCTTTAGTCCATTTTAAAAAGAATGTCTTCTTCCTTTTATAGCAACTCTATAATTCCAACTTTCCACATGACATGTTTAATACCACGAGATTTAGGACATTTTGGTACATTTGACATATCTTTAATGGAAGACACAAGATTCAAAAGTATCTTTACTTTTTAAAACTCCGTGCCAAGTCAAAATAAGGCAAACAAATTGTAACGGAGGTAGTGATATTTGTCTATTAGTGTGTGTTGGAGGGTCTAACATTATAGCCTTATTTTGTAGCTTGGCTTGTTTGTGAATTTTGTGAACTTAAAGAATTTTGGTATTTTGTTTTTTGGTTCTTGGGTGAAGTAGAGATACTTGTAATTTTTCGAGGATGGTTAAATTTTATAAACAGAGGACAAGGATTGTGCCAAAAAGTAATACACAGCTCAGATCCTTGACATTACTGTAGGAAGTTGAGAAATCTATCATCATATCCACAGAAGTGACAACTTCTAGTTTACACCAAAAAGCCATGAAAGTAATACATTTGTGCTTCAGTGTACGAGCATTCTCATATTTACTTCCGAAACATCTTTACTTTAACAGAAGACAGAGATACTTTTATTAATAATGGCGTCTAATAGATGCATCATTACAAAAGTACTAAATGCAAAACTCGAGGAGCCAATGAATTCAAAAACAGTTTTGCTTTACTTTTATCTCAATGTTTACACCAAAGAAGAAAGGGACAAAAAGCATTTTTCTTTTAGTGCAGGGTCTGTCATTGAGCATCTTCCAAGCATATTGCATTCCTATCTTTCCAGAATGTCCAAAATATAGAAGATGGTACCGCTTGCGATATCTTTTTTCTTTCTTTCTTTCTGTCTTCTCCACCTTCAGTTTGCCAAGTAGGTTTTGTCCATATGAAGAGCTGTTACCTGTCTTATACCAGTTTGAGATAGGAGTACCCAAGGCAAATCGAGTGTTTGGGAACATAACATATGAAGGTTATCGCACTTAAAATAACTTCCAATCCGTTTGGCTTTATCTCATAGAGAGAAGGAAAGTGAACTCTCCATGTTTGAATTGACAAGATGACAAAAGAAAGCAAATGACATTAGTTGATACTAATACTATTAATTTGCACTTTTGGTCATTCTGACAAATGTTTGTTTTGGCGGTATGAAAGAGTTGCATTTAAAAGGCTTGCATAAAGAAAGGTTATGCTATTGCTCTTGATTTTACCCTTCTTTCCTCTTAAAATCAGAAATAGAGAGCATTATTCTTCTCAAGCAACTTCTTTCACCAAATATATTAAAAAAGTTAATACTTTTATCTTTTCCTTTCTCTAATCTCACATAGTTCTAATCCTTAAATGATGATGATTCTTACTAAATTGGAAGTTTAAAAGGAGTTCGAGTACATAATACTGGTGCTTTAAGGAAAAAGGTTCCAATCTGAAATATAATGGAGTATTCTTAGTGATTAAATTTTGGTTTGGCTAGTAGAGTATCCTGTATTATTTAGGACATCATGTATAAGTTCATTGGAATTTTGAGTAACTCGCAACCTTTTTGAACCTGGTAAAAGTATATATATAAGAGCACTAAGGAAGTGCGAAGCCATTTTTACAATAGAATTCCACCCATGCTAGAAGTAAAAACTGAGTTTATAAAAGTGAACCAAGTAAATCTACTAGGAATTCTGTCTCCTCTAAGCTACTTTCTATACACCAAAAATACAACAACAATATACAACTCATCTTGAATTTCTGGAGAGGAGTGTGATTGCTGTAAAAAGTTCTTGCATTTCTCTCCTGCCGTGCTGTCCACCATAAACGAGCAGGTACCATTCTCCACCAGCTCAAGTTCTACTGCAGTTCCATTATAGTTCCAGTAGTGCAGCATTTCACTAGTGGTAGCTGCAATAGCCCAACTAAGTCCCTCAATGTTAAGAGTTGCCATAGCTGGTTAGGGATAGGGCAGTGGAGGAAAAGATGTCTATTACTGTCCAAAGCAGAACCATATAAAGGATATATGGAGCATAGCTAAAATCCCCCCCTCCCTTTTAAGATTTTTCTGAGTAAATCAAGCTTGTCTTGCCACTAGCCATGAGAAACAGACCACTTTGAAAGGAGCCTTGACTTTCCAAATAAACCTCCATGGCCAAACTACCTGTGATTTTTCTTGTCCCTCGTTTTCTGTTACTACGTATTGTTTCTTATGTTTCGGCTATCACAGTATTTTGCTACTGCTACTGTTTCTTTTCCCTGAATCCTATGTAATGTTTTTTTCTATTATTTGCTATGTCTTCTTTACTTCTGACATTCTGTTTTCATACTGCTCTGTTGTGTGATACTTGAGTCTAGGGTCTTTCGGGAACAAGTCTCTCTACCTCCACGAGGTAGGGGTAAGGTCATACACTCTACCCTCCCCAGACAGTACATCCAGACCCCACCTGTGGGAATTCATTGTCAAAGTGAAACCTCTTAATCTTTAATACCTTGGAAAGTTTCCAGTCTTCTTGAAAGTTCCACAGTTCTTTCAAGCTACCAGTCATGTAGGAGTCTTAAAAAAGTAACATTTCATCCATGTTGACCCGACAATGTTTCTAGCTTGGCTTCAGGGAGTGTGGTTATGCTATAGAATTCAGGAAAAAAGTCTTTGAGAAGGCCATGCTCAAGCCAGTTATCACTCCAGAAGAGAGTCTTCCTACCATTTTCTATCCATTTGGTATGTTGTCAGATAGAGAGTTCCAATGGAGTTTGATGGCTTTCCATACTCCCACCCCATATGGACTATTGCAACTTTAGAGCACCATATGGCCATCCTGTCCATATGTGTCATGAATTACCTGTCTCCACAGAGCGTTGGATTCCATATTGTATCTCCTTAGCCGCTTCTTGAGGTTCCTGATGTCCAGTCCCCCACCCCTTTCAGTAGTGAGGGGAGTGCTCCAGTTAACTAAGTGAAGGGCTTTCTTGTCTTTACTATCTTGCCAACTAAATTAGTCCTTGTGTTATGGGTTAATCTCATCTGTGCTTGTTATGTTATCCAACATACTGAAAAGGACCTTCAATTTGTGTGATATAAACCATTATCTTTGGTCAATGGTGTGAACTAAACTATATTTATAACTCTTGGATGAACACAACAATTTCTTGGAAATCCATAATGTACTCTCACTCAAGGCTAATGTAGCATATATTGGTCTAAACAACTAGAAAAGGCTGGGTACTTCAGATCAGGATGCAACAAGAGCAGTTGAAGTTAAAAAAACTCTAATTGGGATTTTTTTCCCGCTTTGTTTATGCAAGAATTGCATATTAATAAAAGAGCATTGTGGAAATGCAATTGTTAAAATGAATATGTGTTAATATAAAATTAGACAAGATTTGAAATCAGATCTGGTAGAAGGTGCAAGTAATGCATAGAGGATAAACTGAGAGAAGGTTGTGATAGATGGTTTGGTCATGTTTTACATAGACGTCCAAATGCACTGATCCTTAGATGTGACGGTATAGTGGTTGAAGGTGATAAAATGAGATGAGGTAGACTTGAAATCACATGATGGAAAAATGTATTAGATAGAAAATTTACAACCTCGCAGAAGTTATGATGACTTGATTAAGAATATAACAGATAACAATGGAAGCAAAGGATTCATACATGCACTACCAATTTGCAGAGATTGAGGTTGGCAATTACTGATACACTTACATTAGGTCTTCTCTTTCCAAGAGTCTTTTGTTTGGTTAGAATTGCATATCAGCAAAGGATCAAATGTGAAATGTACCTCTACTTTTCAAGAAATTCCCTGTTTGAGTATTAGAATGAAATTAGTTTGAGTAGAGCGGAATGAATATAGAGGATCATATACCTAAAGTTCGGATTGAGGCAAAATTATTGTTGTACTCTGGAACTGCCATTGTCCTCTTCACCTAAATATCAAGCCCCTTCCCTAGTGTTGCATTGCTCAACAAAAGGTGGAAGGTTGAACTGAAGTGGCAATGACATGCCAAAAAGTGCTATTGAAGCAAGTGGCCGTTGGTGATAATTAAAGTAATACGATTTTCCGTAGCCATGTGCTAAAAAATTCCTACCTTGGTTTTGGTTCATCGTTGAAGGTATGCAAAAAGTGTAGTAGGCGCTCACTCAAGTTTTGATTTTTGGTCAGTGAACCGAGCCTGGTATTTAGATGGAGATTGGTTGAGGGGAAAATCCATTATCCATTAAGCTTTAGAGGTGGAAACAACTAGTTTCTCGTCCGATAAGCTTTACATGTATGTTCTCCTATGCATAGATGTGACAGAAACTCAAGTTGCATAATATTCATGGGTCTAATATGATATTTCATTTTCTAAAGTACTTTTTCTCCTTGAATGCGTTGCAGCCATACCACCCTGCACCCCAGGGACATCATATGGACCCTTGTCGAGATACCAAATTTTGCTGGGCCTGGTCAGTAGCTTTGCAAGATAATGTAATACTTGAAAAGTTTCTAGAAATTATTGACTGTGAGACTCTTTAGTACCCCATCCTGTTGGATTTTGTTTCTTTTCCGTTGTTTCCATTCTAAGAAATAATTTATTTAATTTGAAATTTCATATCATTCTCCTTTTGTTTTACCTGAATTTTTGTTCTGTCTCAGAGGCATAAAGAATATTGCACTACTACAAGGAACGAGGAAAAGCAAACGTAAGTTATGTATGGATTGTTACCATTATTTTATTTTCTTTTACCAGTTGTTTCTCTTTGAACAAGGAAACCTTGTACTTCTTTACACAAGAGATGTGTCACTGTCTTATATTGCTAAATGCACTTCATGATTGAGAGTTGTGAGAATGTTTAAATTGTCTTGGTGATATAGGAATAAGTAGACCTGTTTGATTGGCGTAGTTGGGTGAGTAACGCTGCTATGTGGCTAATGATGCTTATCCAAAAAAAAAGAAAAGAAGATGTGTTGCTTATTACTGTTAACCTAACTATATTGATCAACATCTCAATTTTGAAGGGTAAATTCTAACTGCTATGTAGCAGAGCAGTTTTCGTGGCATATAAATTGATTGAAAATGTGAGGTTATTTTGATAAGGATTGGGACCTTGAATTTGCTTCTTGGGGAAGGAGATTCATGCAATGAATTTGGGTTTTCAAGGTCAATTAATGATGGTTAGGCAAATTTCTTGATTATATTTTATTTAATTGTTCCTTTTTGAGTTTCCTTTAAGAATACAATTGATGTACAAAGGTTTGATCCATGTAGTATTTGTTCTAGCCTAGTTAAAATTGATAACCATTAGGTTAGTTTGTACTTACTATTAATTTTGCTAATTAATTTGACATTTCTTTCAGTAAAAGTTGTATAAAAAAAGTCAATGTCATATCATAACCCAAGGATGTGGCTTAGCAGTCAATGAAGAGTGAAAACCATGGGAGACCAGGGTTTAATCCCCAATAGAGACAAAAAAAAAACGTTAGGGACTTTTCCATATGTGTAAGCCTTGGTGGACAAAGTTACCCATTACTTGTATCGGTAGGTATTAGACACCCAATGCAATTGTTGAGGTGCCTGTAAGCTAGTGACCATACACCGTCATAGAAAAGGGTCCTGTCATAATGTTGAAATACATTTCTTTTGTTTTGTTGGGAAGGTAGTAATAATACAATCTCTTTATATAATGAATAGAATGGACAATACAATTTTAATGATTGTGCGTATACTATTCCCTTCACTAAATCAAGTCCATTCTAAATTGGTCCAAATATGCATCAATGCAAATCCAAACTCTGACATTCCTAACATAATCAGATCAAAGCTGATGCTCTGATATATCTGATGTTTCCTTCTCTAAGATACTTTCATGGAACATATTTACACATGGTCCTTCTAATCTATAGTTTGGGAGTTCCCAAAAACTGCCCTCGAGATTGGGAAAATATTTTATGTTTTCTGCATCTTATGATTTTGTATATACCCTGTCTTTCTCTATCAAACAATATACATTATTTCACTGAGATCTCTCGTCAGTAGTTGAATAGCCTTTTAAGTACATGGTTATTTTGATCTTGGATTGCAGTCCAATCTCTCGTTGCGTTTGTTGCATAATTTCATCTCTAATATGGCTGTTGGCATGCTCCAAGATTATAATCTATAGTTTGGGAGTTCCCAAAAACTGCCCTCGAGATTGGGAAAATATTTTATGTTTTCTGCATCTTATGATTTTGTATATACCCTGTCTTTCTCTATCAAACAATATATATTATTTCACTGAGATCTCTCGTCAGTAGTTGAATAGCCTTTTAAGTACATGGTTATTTTGATCTTGGATTGCAGTCCAATCTCTCGTTGCGTTTGTTGCATAATTTCATCTCTAATATGGCTGTTGGCATGCCCCAAGATTATACATATCTGCTTTTGTTCTCCTCAAACTTTTACATGTTCTCTCTTTGCACAGAATATCAGTAACATTTGTTGACAAGGATGGAGAAGAGAAGCATATCAAGGTCCCTGTTGGAATGTCTTTGTTAGAAGCTGCACATGAGAATGACATTGAGCTTGAAGGTTAGCTTTGTTGGGGCATGCTAAATCTTACATGTTGATTCAATATTGGTATCCTTAACCAGTGTAGTATAGATTTTCAGGACGATATAGGACCTTTATGAATCTGATTACGCTTGCAATTAGTATGCTTTTATTGGGCGGATATTCTGATCAAACTTTTTCACCTCGCAATCATTCTTATCTGAAAAACATAAGAGTGATTAATTAAATTGTATAGTAATCTAAGTTCTCTGGAGTAGGTGAGGGAAGTCCCTGAGTTGATTCAAATTTAGTGAAAGAAGAATCTGAACTCAAAGCAATTCAAAAGGAATACTGCGAGTACTGCAAGTATTCTCGTCTTCATATTAAAGATACTGGTGAAGGGGTGATGGTGCTGAGATGAGTGCGGGAAGGTGTGTGAAAGTTGGTAATGAATCTTGAGACATAGTTTAGACTTTAGAGAGGCAATGCCGCAAAACTAGTTGGATACTGGAATGGGCCAATAATGGCAGTTGGGCATATTAGAGACGTACTAACATTCTTTCCTAATAATGGTGTAACCTTTCAATTTCAGTTTTACCTTAAGACAATTAATATGAGCCTCATTTACATAGGTCTGGTTAACGTTACTGAGTGATCATCTTCGTCTCCCTACAGTTTGAATTGTATACCAAAACAGTTTTGGGTGTTACTGGTGGAATTTACATTTCTTAGCATATCTAACTTTTGGTGCCTTATTGGTTGTTAACGTTAACCGAACAAAATTGGCTTTGATGCAGGAGCATGTGAAGGGTCACTTGCCTGTTCCACATGTCATGTGATAGTTATGGTATGTAATCATATTATTAGGCCATAAACCCCTCCTTTGCCCCAGCTTAGATGGGTCAAGAATCCATTTGAATGTTGTAATCTTTTAACTGAGCTACATTCATTATCTGAACTTTGGCAACTCTCGACAGGATGTGGACCAGTACAACAAGCTAGAAGATCCAACAGACGAAGAGAATGACATGTTGGATCTTGCTTTTGGCCTCACAGAGACGTAGGTCCCTTCAATTTGTTGTATTATTTTTCAGTTTACTGTAATATTCTCAAGCCTCTCATATATTCTGCATTCGTTCTCTGCAGGTCTCGTCTAGGTTGTCAAGTAATTGCTAAACCTGAACTTGATGGAATTCGGGTAGCTCTTCCTGCAGCCACGAGAAACTTTGCTGTTGATGGCTTTAAACCGAAACCACATTAGAGAATCTCTAACATGGATAAAAGATTACTCATGGGGTATATGCCAAAAATCAAAGCCTCCCAGTTTTGTAGGCCTCTTACAAGTGAGTGTATAATAATACCTTTAGGTTGAGTATGGTATCACATATTATGCTGGAAATCGTGACCAAAGTCAGCTGTTGTTTAGGCATTTAGTCAAAAGGATTTGATTGATTATTTTATTAATAATATCTCAAGGCTCAACTCCTCTTTTGATAGTGTATCTTTTCACTAGGTTTGCATTTTTTTGACTTTGGTTTAACACTTTTGTCAAATCATATTATTAAAGGTGTTTTATTTTCATTTCAAGTATATTCTTCAATCCACAGCTCTTGTGAGATGTATTGTGTTTTTTTTATAGTTGTGAATGTACCCTTTCATCTTACCTTTTATCTTATATGCAAACCAAAGCATTTAAAATACAAGAAAACATTCTTTTCAAACATTTCTCATAAACTTCTTTATAAATATTCAAGGTAAACAACTTGTGCTCTTTTGAAAATTATTCTTTACAACTTTTGTCAAAAATACTCTCTTCTTTTCTTTATTTCTTTCCAGGGAGGACCATGGATTTAGACATTCATTTTTCTTCTTTGTATGGTCAAAGAGGGGTCACAGAGATCAAGACTCTCAACATGTGGTGATTTTACTTAAAAGCCCATTTAGTACTCCGCCAAGTCTATGCATAAATAAGGATTGATTTTTACTTTCCCACCAAGCTACTATACGTTGGGGATACTTCCTGGAGGCAGAGGCGAACTCAAGATTTGAAGACGACGGGGGCACTACTAAAGGCGGATGCTGGTTAGTCGAAGTACCGACACTTTATCGAAAAATATTGTCCAACAAGTATAAAATTGAAGGTATATATAAATATAAATTAAACAAAAAAATAACATAGTTCACTCTATGGTTGGATGGTCTTGCCCCTTACTCTACACTTTGTGGTTGCTAGTTCGAATTTAGCTTAAGGTTTTTAATATTGCACATGCACCCAATCCCTCAAACGTGTGTCCGCCTCTGCGAGAAGTTACTTCTAACCTTCCTCAGAGATCCCAAAACTTTCAAAAATAGTTATAAACAGTTCATAAATCATAAATATTCAAATAAAATCAAAGGAGGAAGATCAATTCATCGGTTTCTACAAAAATATCGGTTAACCTTTATGGCGTATTGAACAAGTGCTGGAAAGAATGTATTTATTATTCAAAAGCAGAAGCTGATTAAATAGCGTTATGATTTGTTCTTGGGTTTACGTAGGTGGAATCATGAATTATTATTATTATTATTATTTTATAGATATATTATTTAATTAAAAAATAATATTTATTAATTTAAAGAGTGCTTTGAGATTCAATGAAGGTTCATTTTGATTTCATCAAAATCATTGTATCTTATTAATTTATGTATCATATTTATTGAATTTATATAAAAAAAATAAATTTATTATACATAAAGTTCAATGAATACATCAAAAACATTGTATCTTACTAAATTATGTATCATATTTATTGAATTCATATAAATAAAATTATTATTCATAAAGTACAATGTATGTGTATATATATTTTTTTGTTAAATAATTCATTGTAAAATAAATTCAAAAATTAAATGATTCCTTGTAAAATTAAATTCATTATATATAATATTCATTGTTTCTTAATAATCAAATATTATTCATTATATGTTCACTAAAAAACATTTAATGTATGATGGTGAGAGCTAATTGTGGATTGCAAGAAAAATAACATTTTAAATATTTGTAAAATTTTTCAAAAAAAAAAAAAAAACGAAAGCCATAGGTGTTTGGATTGACTTATTTTTTTTAATGACTTTTGACTTTTAAATTCTTTTTTAATTTTAAAAGTGTTTGGGTAGCTTAAAAAATAATTTTAACTACATAAGGACATCTCCAACCCTACACTCTTAGTTTACTCTCCAAATATAGAGTACTCTATTTTTACAGACAACCAGCTCCAACCCAATACTCTATTTTACTCTTTAAAAAGGAATATTTCAATATTATATTATTATTTCTATTTCATTCTTATTTTCTTATTTCATAATATAAATCCTTTATTTCATTTTGCCAATAATTACTTTATATAATTTTCATGTGATATAAAATTTTACTTTTTCAAATTTTTATTTAATATAAAATTATATTTTATTCTAAATTTTAAATAACATAAAATGCAAGAAAATATTATATAATATACAAATTAATGGACAAATTCATATAAAAGTGAAATACATTTACATAAACATTACATAAACACTCAATTTTTGAAATTATTACGATGCTCCCATAAATGCTCTATTAATGCATTACATAGTTCAAAATGAACATTTTTGTCCTTAATTTTTTTTTATGTCTATCTAAAAGTTGTTCAATCCGATCTACCACCATTTTTGTCCTTGGAGTTGGAGCCTCTATGACATCTTGAATTGGTGCATTAAGATCACATTCATCCTCAATTATCATGTTGTGCAATATAATACATGTAGTCATTATATCATGTAGCATTTCTTTTCTCCAAAAACGCGACGGTCCTGCAAAAATTGCAAAACGTGATTGCAAAACTCTGAATGTACATTCAACATCTTTTCGGCATGATTCTTGTTTCATCGCGAATTAATTATTATGTTATGTATTGTATTGTATTGTTATCTTATATTTAAGTAATCATATTATTATGTGTTTTATTTTTAAATTATTCATCTTATCATTTTAATTTTGTGTATTCTTTATAGTGAAAATTAATAATAAAATCAAACTATATTATCGATGAAAATTAGAAAAAATTAAAATACTATTAATTCGGGATGAAAGTAGTATATATTAAATAAAATATTTTTTAAAATATTATATTACATTTAAAAAGAAGTATGAATATTAGATATTTAATTAGTGACATTATATGTAAAATAATATGATAATTAGAAAGTAATAAAAATAATAATAAAATATTCAAAAAGTGAAATAGTTGGAGAACTACTATTCACCTCTCTAAATATGAAGAATAAAGAGTGATATAAAGGTGGGTTGGAGTGTCCATTCTCTATTTTACTCTCCAAATGTAGAGAATGAAGAGTAAAATAGAGGTGGGTTGGAGATGGTCTAAAAGTTACTCCCTCAATTTCATATTAATTGAATTGTTGAGATATTTTTTATTTTTTAAATTAACTTAATTGTTCAATTTTCAAGATTACTTTTAAAATGTTTTTTCAATTTTACCCTTCATTAGTTAGTATTGGAATTATTTATTAATTAATGTTTAGTTATTTTAATCATAATTTTGATAATAATTAATAAGGATAAAATAAAAAATTAAGTCTAATTTATGTTTTAATCTTATTTTCTTAAAAGTTGTGAAACACCTCAATTATTCAATTAATATGAAATGGAGGGAGTAAAAGCCAAAAAGTAAAAAGCTAAAAGCCAAACTTTTAGATTTCCATTCTTCATTTCTAATTTGCAATTTCTCTCTCTTCTTAGGTAATGCTTGTGCAAAAAGTTAAGATTTTGAAAATTTCTTTTGGATGAATGAAAAAGAACTGTGAGTGTAAGTCTGTTAATAATTTTGTTGTTTCATGCTTAAGAAAGAAACCCCAACTTTTTTGGTATTTGTTCTCTTCCAATGTTCTTCTCAAGGGAAATATGAATTTTATGTTGTTGTTGTTCTTCTTCTTGAACTTGTTTGTTCAAGTAGGGAAACTTTTATTTGAGATTCTAGCATAACTTTTAGTGAACACTTGTTATTATATTTTATACTTTCAACAATGGGTACAATGATGTATTGAAATGAGTTCAAAAAATTAGTGTTTTGAAAATAATGCTTTTGGTCAATTAAAAGTTAAGGAAGATTCTTCAAAGTTAAGTTTAGAGTTAATGATTTTGTAAATAGTGTGTGTATCTTTAGTGAAAAGTAAATTTTTGTTCTTGTTGTTGAACATTGTTGTTTGAACATTGTTGTGAAAGTTGTGAAATTTTGTTTTTTTGCTAAGAAATGTGAATTTTTGTTGTTGTTCTTGGTGTATACCTTGTTCTTGAACATTGTAATAAGAAATTTTCTTGTTATTTTTCTTGAACATTGTTATGAAAGTAGTGAAATGACAAATGACTTGTTGGATAAAATCTTGATTGTTGTTTAGAGATTGTAACATATCTTTTAGTGCATACTTCTTTGTTATTATTATATTTGGTGTTGTTAAAGGTGTAGTAAAAGTGATTTATTTTTGTTGTGGTTATTGTCCTCCATGACATAAAACAAAGATCTTGCATTGGTTTTATTTTTGTCCAATAGAAGACGGTAGGATCTATTGGAAACATATGAGTAATCTGTTGCAATAGATGACTTATATGTTGGAATAATATATTTGTTATATTTTTTATGTTTTCTCTTCTTTTGAGTGATGCACAAATCAATTGAAACCTTTTTTGTTTATCTATTTTTTGTAGATAAAATGAATTCAGTCAAAAGAAAGGAACAAAAATCAACTTCATGCAGAATGAGTGAAGTACCTAGAGTACAAACACCATCGAAACAACTTGCCGATGAAGCCCTTTCTCAAAGAAATCATTTTTTTCCAGTTGTAGATGCAGTAAAAGATGAAGTGGTTGAAATAGAGGAAAATGAGAAAGTAGTGCAAGGAGATGGAAATGAGGAAGTAGCTCTCGGAGGAGGAGGAGAAAGTAGTTCGAGGTCTAGAGCCATAGGGAAAGAAGTAGGGGAAAGGTCGACGACTGATGTTGATTTTAGATCAGAAGTCCAACATAGCATCCCTTCAACTCCTGGATTTGTCAAAACTTTCAGTATTGACAAGTTTCAAGTGAAGATGCCCATTGATGATGATACAAATTTTGGTGATTCTGTTGTTAAATCTGTGATGGGAAAAGTATTTGATAAATTCAAGGTGATATTGAAGGAGCAAAAGTTGGAGACTTTCTTTAGGTCTAGCTGTTTTGGGTTGTATCTTGATCTTCCTGAGAATAATAATGCACGTTTTCAAATGACTATGGTCTATGGTCTTTTGAAACGTAGGATTCTATATGAGGATGAGGAAAAAAAAGATGAGATCTGGATAAACTATTGTGGCATGCCAATATGTTTTGGTATTAAAGAATTTGCCATAATTACTGGACTTAGATGTCATCATGCTGTTCAGCCTCTTCCTATTGTTAAGCCAAAGAGTACAACCAACAAAACAAAGAAAGTCGAAGGCAAAGAAAAAATAGCTGATGATGATGACTTGGTGGACATTGTTGGTAAGAGCTACAAAAGCACAAATTTGCTCAAAGATCTGGAGTCTAAAACACTTTCAAGGAAGCACAAAGAGTCATTGTGCTTAGTTTGGTTCGTGCATGCTATTCTATGGGCCAAAGACACCAACCAAATCATACCAGCTAGTTTGTTAAAGTTATCTCGGGATCGTGAGGAATTCAACAACTATCCATGGGGTCACGAAAGCTACAATTTAACTGTAAAATATTTGTTGCAAAAGTTAACACCCAAAACAATCAATCTATATGGTTTTCCTTGGGCTTTCATGGTAAAGTTATGATTTTCTTCTTTAATCTTTCATTTTTTGTTGAATAATTATTCTGATTTGCTTATTGGCATAATTATATTTAGGCTTGGGCATTTGAAGCCATTCCTCACCTCCGACAGCAAGTCAAGGACTACTCTGAAAAGGTTTCTTATCCAAGGATCCTTAGATGGTTGTCTGCCAAGAACAACATAAAAGTGAATGCTGTTGACTTGTTCACCCCTCCTGATGATGCAGCAAGTCTTCTTTTATGTAGATTTTACTTAATTTGAAGGACATATGTAGCAATCGATCTATTAAATGTTGCTACATATTAAATATTTGTTTGAGTTCTTCTAACAGATTATGTGCACCAAATGTGTAGTCTATTGCAGCAAATTGCAAATCTGTGAAATAATAAAGCTGATTCAACATTTGTTGCACATAATTTTGACATATTAAACACTTTTGATTATACATGTGTTGATTTCTTTAATTATTGATTGATTTTCATGATTCAAATACTATTTTAATATATCTACTTGTTGATTGTAGATTGTGCATCCGTGGCTTATCCCTACTGAGCTAGAATCAACGATGCCATTCCTTCTTACTTTAGGATTTGTGAGAACTTTACCTGATCCTAAGGTTATTGATAGGATTAAAAGAGAATTGGATGGAGCTACATCCATCAAAAGGGAAGCACTGGGGGGTGGTGAGGAGGCTGTTCGTGCTGTTGGTGATCCCGTAGGTGATGTCGGTGGTGGTTTTGATGGTAGTGGTGGTGGTGATGAGCTTGATGATGTTGCTCATTATTCAGTTTCTGAAAAAGGAATTGACCATGATGATGGTCACAACATTGGTGATTTTGGTGTTAGTGAATATGGTGGATTCACACCATTTAGACCGCGCGCAACAACACCTCCATACAAATCGAGGCTACAAACATCTGTTGGTGTTGCCTCCTCTAGCTTATGTTTTACTTGTCAATGCAAGGGCTGCAATGAAAGACATACTGAAATAGTTAATCGTATCCATGCATTGACTGAAGCTGTAAATAGTCTGGCACCGAAAAGGGGTATCAATCCATCTAAGAGGGTTTCAAACTCCTGCATTCCCATTGAGATTAGGAGGAGGAAGAGGGCAATTTCAAACGCATTGTCAAGTATCAAAGTAATTAGAAAAGTTGTCAATCCACTTCCTCATAATGTTCGGTCAGCTGTCCAGCTTAAGCTTCAAAAGGTAAATATTTACAAGCTTGTAGATCCTCCAATGAACAAGCAGCTTGAAAAAAAATCCTCTAGGCCAAAAAGGGAAGAAAAAAATAAAATCCCGAAACACTTCTTTGAAGAACTTCTTGAAAGAAAAAAGAAGCTCTTCACTAATGTCCATAGAGTTCTATTGGCATAATATGTAAATATACACTCAAACTTAGTACTCCAATTTTGAGAATTCACATGTAGACAACTGAACTTGATCTCAACTGACAACTGAACACTCTAATTCATCCTCATTGTGTCTCATTGACACTTGATGTTGACATGACATATACATTTGGAGGTGTTTAGATGATCATTTTGTAAGTTAGAGCATTCAACTAACACAGTTGGTGACACGTTGAGGTGTCTTGATGTGCTTACTCAAAAGATTGGAGTACAACTTACTTGCCAACTGAAGCCAAGTTTGAGTGCCTGTTTATGCCAATTCTTTTTCACAACTTGTCAAAGATTTTTCAAGTTTATATTTTATTTAGCGTCAAAATCCTTGACTATATTATATTTATCTCTTATATAAGCTCTATTATTTGATAATTGTTAATAGGTATAAATTGGAACCTCAATCTATCACTTCAAATATAATTTGGTATGTGGAAGTCAACATTGACACAACAGAAGTAGTTTGTCAGCTTCACAGTCCTAACAAACATAATTGTGTCATTTTGGATGATTGCAGGTGCGACCTTCGGAAGCTGAATAGCCTGCAGGTTGAACACATCTACAGAGAACAGAATTGACTTACTAATAGACTAGCATCGATGGCCACTGCCACTATTGAAAATCCTATTACTATGCAGCTTTTTTGGGAAATGCCACCATCATCGGAGAACCTTTGGCTTGACGATAAAACTGGTGCCACATCCGTCAGGAGGATAAATGCTATGTATGCATCATAATCCTTCTACTATGTATGATATTAGTAGTACAGTTTGTAGTAATGCTGGTGATAGGTCTTTTGTATCTGCTGTAAATACTGCTGGTGGAATAGTGGCCCAACAACCACAAACTACCATGGCTCAGCCACATCTCGGTTCTCTGTAGTTTTTGTTATTAATATAGCTTCTCTGGTTTACCAAAATGAAATTATGTTTGTGTAGTATATTTCCACTTCAATATTATTCTCTTCCAAACAAAATAGTCTTAGAAAGTGACAGTTTACTGCTTGGCAATTGTTCCAGTTGCATTATCTACTCGACAGAGCCGTTGGAAGTATTTCATGGATTATCTCTGAACTTTCATGTTATAACAATGCCCTTCATGAATATTTCCATGAATTCTGCCAGAGACACTTATCGTCTTGGCACTTACGTTGCTTCCTTTGCTGCTGGTAGTTTTGTTAAAGGAGTTTCATCTTTTGGATATGCTCCTGGAACAGCAAGAGGTGTGGTGCCACGAGCTAGGATAGCTGTGTATAAGTTCAGCTTTGATGAAGGAGCTTTCGTTTCTGATTTAATTGCTGCTATGGACCAAGCTTCTGTTGGCGCCATGATGAAGGGTGTCTTAGTTTCTGCTTCATCTGGGAATAATGGTCCTGAAATGGGGCCTTAAAAGAATGGAGTGCATGTAGCATCATAACTTGTTATAGCACTACACAAGAAGACTTAACAGTCGCTGATCAAATGGATGCTATCTCAGAGTCGAAACCCTGAAGTTGTAATTAGCAGCAAAGGATTGGAAAAAGTTGTAGACTATGCAAACAAAGTGCTGAACCGAAAGTCAGCATCAGTGGAAACACGTATTGATGTAAAGCATGCTCCAGCTGTTTCTGCATTTTCCTCGAGAGGTCCCTCTCTAAGCTATCTTCGAGTTGCAAAGTTAGATATTATGGCACCCGGGATGTTAATGATGAACTGAACTACCTATGACCAATTCACTAATATAAAAAAGACTACAAAAATATGGTTTAACATTCTTGGGGATAATTATTTCAGTAAGGTGATTTTGGTGGCATAATATATAAACATGACCCTTTATTTGTCTTCAGCTGACAACTATGCCCTCCAACTTTGGGAGTGCACAATTATGCACTTAAACTTGTATGAAATTGAAAAAATAGACACACGTGTCCCACGTGGCATAATAAATGTAGGACGCCATGTAGGACACAAAATTGTCATGTAGAGTGTCATGAGTCTATTTGTTCAATTTTGTACAAGTTTATGTGTTTATTTGTGCACACCTAAAGTTAAATGTCATAGTTTTCAGCTGAAACCAAGTTAAAGGTCATGTTTATAAATTATGCCGGATTTTGGCTGATGATCCTACTATGACTATTTCCATGAATTCTGCAAGGGATACTAGAGGTTAGAGTCGTCAAAAAGGGCTTAGCCCATGGGGCTGGCCCGACCCAACCCGTTATTGGGGCAGGGTTGGGATATGATTTTTCAATCCCGTTTAAAACCGAGGCTTATAAGCCCAACCCTTTTAGGCCCTTAGCCCTTGAGGATTGAACGGGGGGGCCCGGGGTTGGCCCATGGGCCAAATTATTTAAATTAAAACAGATATTAAAAACTAGAAAACTTAAATGTAACCTCTAACCTATACGGCTATAGTAGATTAGTACTACTAGACAACTAGTACGTGAAGATTTAAAAGGCTAAAGCCTTATAAATTCTAAAGCCATTACTCTTAAAAACTTAAGTCCCTAAGCCCTAATATCTAAATTCTTGAACTACAATTCTCTGTCTCTTTACTCTTATAGTTTTATTGTCGTCTCGTTTCTGCTAAGACATTGGACAATTTTCACGCATGTAACAATTTTCTTGATTTCATTTAACAAAATACTTTAAATAATTATGTATTGCTAACTAAAGTTTTAGTCAGAAGTGTTCTTTAGTTTACTAGTTTGTTTTCAGATATTATTTACTTAAGAGATTATTATATTTTTCTTTAAATAATTATTGCTAGATTTTTTATTTAGAATTATTGAAACAATGTTATTGTTTGTGACATTGATTTCACATAAAAAAAAAAGGTTGGCCCGCCCCAGCCCTTGACCCTTCTGGGGTTGGGCCGAGTCGACCATTTTATAGCCCTTTGAAATGAAGGGCAGGCCCGCCCCAGCCTATCAAATTCTTTGGCCCACAGGACTTGAGCGGGGTAGGGCTGGGCTGGCCCATTTTGACGGCTCTACTAGAGGCATGGCACACATGTTGCCTCCATTGCTGCACGTAATTTTGCTAAAGAAGCTTCATATTTTGGATATGGTACTGGAACAATAAGAGGTATGGCCCCACGGGCTAGGATAGCTATGTATAAGTTTAGCTTTGAAGAAGGAACCTTTACTTCTGATTAAATTGCTGCAATGGATCAAGCTATTGCAGATGGTGTTGACATACTGACTATTTCTTATGGGTGGGTTAGGATTCCATTGTATCAAGATTCTATTGTGATAGCTTCTTTTGGTGCCATGATGAAGGGGTCTTAGTCTCTGCTTCAGCTGGAAATAGTGGCCCTGAAATGTCTTAACTAATGGACTTGAGACGTCCAGCCCCAAGTACAAGGATTGGTTTCGTTAGGACAAAATAATCCAATTGCTCTCATGGCCTTTGTTAATGCCACAATTGCATCCACTGTAGCTTCTGTGCTCATCTCCAAAGTTGTGTGGGATCAACTTCACACTTCCTTTGCGAACAAATCGCAAACCCACTATAGACAATAAAATTCGCGTTGAGAAAATAATAATCAAGAACAGAAAATTATGCAACAATTGTATTTATTGATTTAAAGTGTGAGTGTTACAATCTCTATGATTCCTCTGAATTTGCCTTTTCAGATATAATTCAAGGGCTCTTGAGCTTGATCTTGAGTTTATCTTAAACTTGATCTTGATCTTTGATTTTGAACTTGAACTTGAACTTTATCTTGATCTTGACTTTTAGTTGATTTCAAGGGTTTCGAGCTTGATCTTGAATCTGGTGGTCTTGATCTTGACCGTTTTTGAACTTGAACTTTATCTTGATCTTGACTTCTAGGTTAATCCAAGGGCTTCGAGCTTGATCTTTAATCTGGCGGTCTTGATCTTGATCGTTCTTGAACTTAAACTTTATCTTGATCTTGAGTTCTAGTTGAATCCAAGGGATTCGAGCTTAATCTTGAATCCGATCTTGATCTTGATCGTTCTTGAACTTTATCTTGATCTTGACTTCTAGTTGAATCTAAGGGCTTCGAGCTTGATCTTGAATCTGGCGGCCTTGATCTTGATCGTTCTTGAACTTGAACTTTATCTTGATCTTGACTTCTAGTTGAATCCAAGGGCTTCGAGCTTGATCTTGAATTCGGCGGTCTTGATCTTGATCGTTCTTGAACTTGAACTTTATCTTGATCTTGACTTCTTCAATTCTTGAACTCTTGAACTTGTAGAGAAATCTGCGGCTTTTAATCCACGAGCTTTCTCTAGCTTCTTGTTAGAAGTCTTGGTTCTTTTTCTGAATTCTGAGGACCCTTATTTATAGTTTTAGAATAGATGAGTTGTAATTGGAATAGGACTCCCTTCGGCCAATCAGATTTAAGTGACATGACATATGGGCTTTATGGAGCGGGCTTTAATTAAATACATATTTATTGAATTTAAATAATTAACTCAATTATATTAATCCATACTATTTATTTGGACTAATATGTTCATGAATTTAATATAATTTGAATCATTTAATAAATTTTAAATGACTACACCCACATCTTCAACCTTCGTACTATCTCAGTCGAGTCAGCAAAGACCATAAATCAATTGTTGAATATATGCGAGAGATTCGATCTCCCTCCGCTGAACTCGCCACAACAGTTTCACTCATCAATAATGAATAACTCGTGGTGAAAATATTGAGTGGACCAGGGCGGGAGTTTTGTGAGATCTCAGCGGCTATACGGCACGACACTCTCCAATAGCTATGAGGAACTTTTTGATAGGCTTATTGTTCATGAACTCATCAAACATGAGGACCTCAAGAAGAATATCACCAAGGTCACTGCAGCTGCCGCTCAACGTGTGATAAATCCTCCGCCATTCTGACGCAACAATCGGCGCCCACCCAACAATAATAATTGGTGTCCCTAAAATAGGCAGCATACTCAAGGCAACACTTTCCAGTATCTGGTGGATACTTCCCAGTGGCTCAGCTTCCCACACCAATCTTCACAAGCTCATTGTCAACTTTGTGATAAATTTAGGCATATAACAAGTGGTTTCCTCTCCCGATCTCATAACCACTTTGAAGCAAAAACAAATTTTGTTGTACAAACAACGCTGAATGACCCCTGGATTCTCAATTCAAGTGCGTCTCACCATATTACCTCTGATACCAACTCCCTCTACAATGTTTAGGACATTAAAGGGATCGAGGAAGTGACAATTGGTAATGGTAATGTGATTTCAATTACTCAAACTGGTACTATTTATTTTAATTCATCAAATTCTGCCTTCAAACTCTCTAATATTTGTGCGCTCCCGCTAGCAAACGCAAATTTATTTCAGTGCATCAGTTTTGCACAAACAATCTAATCTCAATAGAATTTTTTCCTTTAAAATTTCTTATGAAGGATCTGACTACAGGAACACTTCTATTGCAACCCGAATAAACTAAGACTCTATGTATGACTTGTTAGCGGAAACGTGAAATTAAAGAACAAGGAAAAACAACAATATTTAACGTGGTTCGGATCAAAATGATCCTACGTCCACCAAAGAACAACTGGACCAAT